AGTGTGGAGGAGGCTATTAAAGTTAGGAGACAAACATACCACATTCTAAAATTGTTCAACACTAAAATTGTATTTCACTCCTTGTATTTTGTGACCTATAACTCCCAAAATAAACCAAAATCCCAGACATATTATACTGTATACCCTATAAATCGGAACAAATTAACATTTATTAATTTCTATTATATACAGTAATTATGTACACATTATTATTGCCAAAACTGTAAAAAAAATCCCCCCCCATTTTTGTTGGTTTTTTGTTTTGTATTTTTTATTAAAAAAAGTAAGAATTTCCGTATGCATATGTCACCAAATTAAAGAACTTTTGTCCTTTTAAAAGAACGGTATATAATATGTGTAGGTGCAATGAATGAGGAAGATGGAAATTAAAGTTAAACACATAGCAAAAATGACAAAATTGCTCTGGTCCCCAGGCAGTAAACATTTTTCTGAAGCTGTGGGGATAATTAGACTTTATATTGATGAACCTGTTTATACTAATAGATGAGCATCATATTTTACTGCGAATTGTCTGTCCTTCGCTAAGCCATATTTCAGCATGGGCTATGTTAGCTGTCTCAAGAAGCAGGTCTGCTCTAAATGACCCAAATTACATAAAGGGCAATCTAAGAACACTGCACAGCTTATGTCTTTGTTTGGGTAAAAGTGTGCCTGGGAGTTTTCCATTCTGTTCTATGATTGTGCTATGCGAGTGGTGTAAAACCCAGCTTCCCACTATTCCATCACTTATGTGCACAGTGTAAATATTATGACACACTTCTATTTAGGCTAATTATGAACACTGATGTCTGTTCTGTTCTTAATCACAATGAGTAATAAAATTGTTATGTTTGGGATGGAATCTATGTTTTGTTTACGTACTTGCTGTGTGAGCTGCTTGATGTTCTGTATACGGTACTGAAATATTACAGTCCAACACTACCTATCTGAAAGGTAGAGGTTTTTTTACTGATTTTGTTCTTCTTCTGGTATATTTGTATTTTTCTTTGCAGGTATATGTGTACCTAACTAAATGTGGGCATATATGGGCTACTCGGTGTGTATAATGTAGTCAGCTGTTCTGTTCAGCAGTAAATTCTCCCCAGTATTAAATGAAGCCTACATGATTATCTTCCTGACATAATCTCATTATAGAGCAACAATACAATGCAAGAGCACCCAATGTGTTTGAATGGCATCTCCATTAATCCATAAAGATGAGTGAAGATAGCCACTTCTACTTTAGGGGTGTCTCCTAGCAAGATGTCAGAGGAGCGGTTTGCATGTAGATGCAGATCACTTACCTTTGTGAATGAAGCCTAAGGGCTCATGCACATGGGCTTATTGCAGAGCAGATACAGTTGTATTGTCATACAGTGTAAAATATACCTGTACGCTGTACTTGTGTGTCTGCCCGCAAACACTGGCACTGGTGTTGGCATGCGCATGGGGCTAAGTTTTTCGAATGCAGAAGTTTCATGTTTAGAAGGCTACCCGCGTGATAGTGCAAATGCAAATTCCAGCTTTTGCGGGCATACACCCAAGTATAGCATTTTCTTCCATACATTGCTTTGGACAGAAAACCGAAGCAGCAAATACCGGTGTATTTAACACTGTACAGCAGTCCCCGGGTTGCGAACAAGATAGAGACTGTAGGTTTGTTCTTAAGTTGAATTTGTATGTAAGTTGGAACAGGTACGTTTTTTAAGTGCAACTCCAGCCAAAATGTTTTTTTTTGTTTGTTTATTTTTGGATAGCATTTCCCTCCATGACAAAACCTTTATGGGCACGGATGTCATAGCGGTGGCATCCTCTCCGTACTGCTCTGAGCAGGAGAGGATCTGTGCACGGATCCTCTCCTGATCAGCCTGTGTGAAAGGGGCCTTACTGTCAATTATTATATATAGTTGCATAACCCTTAACGCTAGAAGTACTTTACTATTTGCATATCTTTAGCTGTGTGCTAGTGATCAGTACTTAGAATCTTTTTAATGCATATTTTATACAGAAAACAGAAAAGATCATTAGTATCTTTCCATGAAAAATATTTTATTTAGGCATCTTCCATTGTATTCCCTAGAATGTGTTTAGCATTAAAAACAGCAAGGAAAGTGATCGGAAAATGTTCTACTCAATGTATCTGCGCTGCACTGCTACAAACTGTTGCTATGTGGAAAAGTTGCATACTTTCTCTAGCCCAGTGATTTTAGGAAGTGTTGAAGGCAGAGACAACCAGGCACTTGGCCGTTTCAGAAGCAGGTCAGCTATTCCAATCTTTATATCTGTTGAAATACAAATCTTTTTTAAATTACATCTACACTACCGAAGAACGACATAACCTGTGATGCGGAACTCTTCTTTGGAAAGTGCTAGTTGCTCAGCTTTTATGCTGTTCCAAAGTCTTCAATACTGTGAGTCTCTGACCCAGAACAAATTTGGAGTTCTGAAAATGCTGTTTTCTTCCCATACATTTATCCACCACTCATATCTGCAAAGGATCAAAGTCTTAAGTAGAAATAAGTTATTACAAACACAAAAATTACTTTCCCCCTACACATCTTGCACTCGATCCAGCATTTATTCCTGCTATATACTGTATACACAACATGACTCTAAACCTAGAGGTTCCAAAAAAGTTCTTTTTTTGTTTCAAACCTAATGAGGGACCAGAGATTCCAGACATTATCAACTATAATCGAGCAGTGTAATCAGCAGCCATAAGTCCCAGCCACATAAGCTCTAACACACCTCTGTGGGTTAGTATTGAAGCATATCAGTTAGTGCTAACAGCAATATATACCATTTTGTGGACCTCTCCTGCCTTCTGCAAACACAATACTAATTCTGTCCTCAAAACTTCTACAAACCTGTTCAGTAATCGCTCTCCCCTATACACCAATATAGACTATAACCAATAACCCTTCTGTCTCCCAGTATAGAAAGAACCCCTTAGGTTTTTACGGTGGACCAAGGAGGTTCTCCAGAGGGTGTTCAACTTAATTACCATGCGAGGTATACACTATTTTCCTTCTCTACATTCTACTTATTTTATCTTGAAATTTACAGATTTTTCCTTAACCCTCCCACACCTTTCAAACACTCCTTTTGAGATCCCCTATCCAAGAAGGGCATGGTTTCAACAATTTATAGTTTCCTCCAAAAAGGTGATTTGCTATATCCCCTGCCCTATAAATCCCAGGAGCCAGATAGCCCATGCTCCTTAAAAATCACAGGTGACTTTTCAATGTTTAATGCTCTCTAGTTGTTGTCAATAGAGCTGGCTCCTTAAAGAAAAAAAAAAATCCTGCTGACTCAAATTTGTACACCCCGCGTCCCAGATTTGGGACACAATCTCACATGGTTCACTAAATTCCTAATTTACTGAGGCCAGTTATTACAAATGTGGTACATCCACCATCACAGACTGGCCAAATTCACAAGGGGTGCTTTGGATTTTTGCCTTAGGGGCAGTGGAGAAATGGGTACTCTGGGGCTGCCCCAGAAACAAACAATTCTGGACCAGAGCATATCAGTTAGTATATACCGTCCTGGGTAGCTGTATTCCTGATAATCTATGCAAAGCTCTCCTTAAACCAACCAGCTGTACTTCTGACCAATTCAGGCTCATTACCTTTTAGTTTCACAGCAGCAAGGCAAACTCTTGCTAAAGCCTGGTGGTCTGGCAACTAGACAGTAGTGCAGGTTAAGCAATCAATGGCATGTATTTAGTCAACAAAAAATTGGCTGCCATTCTCTGTAATACAGTTAAGAAATTCAGAAAGGTTTGCACTCCATGTATAACACATTACTGCCCCAGGGAATTTTATAATTGGCTATGGATTATCTAATTATGAGCTGTACATAGGAATGTGGGGCTTAGTGCGGGGGGCACCCTGGTTGGTCTGGCTCCATAACCTCCCAACCTTATTGCCTCCTCCTTTCCTCCCTCTGACTTTTCCCTACTAACCTTTCCCACACTACCATTTTATCGTCCCTTAATGTTCATATTTTCACAGTTAAATTGTCTACTTGTTCCAACCCCCTCGAAGTACAACCATGTAAATACACTAGAATATCTCATGCAGTTTAAAGCTAAGTATACACTTGTAGATTTTCAAATTAACTTTCATACAAAAAGTCATAATTTGGTTTTGGAATTATTGGAGTTTTCTAAATGAAAACCACAATTACGCTTAGAATTTTCTTTGACAAAAATGTTCCATCCGGCACCTTTTTTTTTATTTTTTTGTCTACATTCAAAACCATCAATTGAATTTTTAACCCCATTAACTATTAGAAAATTGAACAAAGTTATATTTTTTCAAACAAATTTCTACTGGTGTATAGCCAGCTTAAGTTGTTGGATACTTGCCAGTGGTCTTTGTTGTAATATATACCCACCTTGGCTTCCGGGAAGCTAATGGATTGTCTTGGCTGTCTCTGTAATTTCATGCTTTTGATAACAATATTTGCATTATGGGTCAGACTCTTTACACTGTACTAGGATATGTATCTCTTTTTATTTGGTGTTTGACTGCATTATTCGTAAAACCTTCCTATAAAAACGTATTGAAGCAGGAAGATGTTTACAATGAATAACAGTGCATCAGACATTAGAATATTAATCCTATTTTTGTTTAGGCATGTTTTTAATATTCCCCTTTTTGGCTTGACAGGAAATAAGTGTTTCTGTGACTCTTGTTAGTAGCATGTTTATCTGCTATTTCTGTCCAGTTGATTGTCGTAAAGAATCTCTATTGGGTACATTATGTAAACTATCTACAGTATGGTCTGGAACGTCAAGTGATCAATTAGCAAGCAAGGATAAAAGTGGAGCCATATCTCCTGATGGTGCTTTTGTAGGGCAATCATCTTTCATGTAGGATGTGTGGGAGAAGTACTTGGCTGCAATTTGCCTATGTCCAACCATACACGGCAAGAAGAATGTATTCATTCCTTTTTGACAAACGTGTTTTTTTCCCCCTCTGTTTACTTTCCAGACAAGTATCAAAGAAGGATTATTACTGAAGCAAACCAGTTCATTTCAAAGATGGAAAAAACGCTATTTTAAGCTTCGGGGCAGAACCCTGTACTATGCCAAGGATTCAAAGGTAAGACATCCTTTCATTCCTTTTTTTTTTTTTTTTCCTCTTTCATTTTAATAAGCAGTACATACTTGCCAATGAACATATCTACATATTGCTTTTTTTCTTGATTTTTTAATATTTGCATATATAGTTTTAAAGTGACCCTTAACTCAGGAGTTAAATCTTTAAAATGCATTCAAGTGCCTTAACTATTAACAAAAATGTAGCTTATTTGGTTATCACTCAGCTGTAGATCCTCAAATCATCTCTGAATTTGTGCTGACAATGTCCTTCCTTCTGGAGGGTGGCTTTTGTTCCCCATGGTCCCTGTGTGTGTTGTAAAGTAGCCACCACTCCAAGCTTACTCCCTTGATGGACTGCAATCTCATAAAAAAATTACTAAACTAAATGTTAGATTGTAGTCCATCACTGGAGCAAGCTTGGTGCGGTGCCTACTTTACAACACACGCAAGGACCATGTGGAACAAAAGTAGCCACCCTCCAGAAGGAAAGACCTTGTCGGCATGAATTCAGAGCTGATTTGAGGCTCTGCGGCTGAATGATGCACAGATAAGATACATTTTTGTTAATACTTGAATGTAATTTTAAGGTTTATCTTCTGAGTTTAGTGTCGCCTAAAGCTTTCTTAGAAGCCGAAATACTTTGTATCCAATTCTAAAATTCATATCAACACAGAAAAACTCCAGTCACAATTTTCATAATTACGATTAGCCAAATGTGTTTTTTTATTTTTAATGTTTTTTCCCGTATGAGCAGAATATTAGCCCCCACAGCACAGGTGTAATGGATTTAGGTGGTGTTTAACTGGTATGCAGCTTCTAATTAGTATGGACCGGGGTGTCCGACTGGTGTGGACGAAGGCAGAGGAAGAAGCGCTACGACCAAGTACACATTTAAGGGTGTGGTTGCAGGTGGGCATGGACGGGATAATGATGTTGATTCAATGTCGTCAGTGGTTGATCATGTGGTCAAAATTGTTTTCCGGATTGTGTTAATATAAATCGAGAAGAAGGGAGACAGAGATGGTGCAAGTGAATCTCGAGCAATAAATAGGACAACGTGTGAACATGTAGAGACTCACCACGAGGTTCTTAAAGATATGGGGGTTGATTTACTAACCTTATAAACACGCCACGAACAAGTATACACCTCTGTAGTGTGTTCCCTCCCAGCATGATCTATTGGTGGAATCTAGACACCTTCGTAGTGTGTACACACCCAGCAGGTGTGTTGTGCAAAGCCCTGCATGAATTGCAAGGTGATGTTGTGTAAATTAGCTCT